CCCCAAAACCCCAAAACCCCAAAACCCCATCACCCATAATAATTTTTGAAGGGTATAATATTCATTAGTAGTCCATTTAAGCTGATCAACTTGGCAATCATGAAGTTGAATGAGTCTAAACAATGACACTTGGGTGTACTCATATTCGTGTCATGCTCCGTATCTCTACACTAGAGGAGTTAATAAATATCCTTTACCTATTCTCATATTCAAATCTGGATTGGACCCATAAAGTGTTGGTTGTGAGCAATACTTGATCTGCTCATCTATTGCAGATTATTAAGGATAAATCCCGATGGCCTGCGTGTTGAAATAATTCTACAGAATTTAAATCATACTTTTACTATGTGCATGCAGTTGAAAGATATTATCTTCAGATCTATTAGGATATTCTGACAAAGTACCGATGCCCTTCTCATCAAGAAGAGTGACTAACTTGTTGAATTCTGGTATCTGAAAATGATAAATAATCAAGCAGAAAGGAAATCGAAAGTAAGGATACTAACAGGCTTACCCAGACATTCATATCTATTCTAAAGAATAAGCATGCTGACTTTCACAAGTGAGCCTAGGAACTTCTTGCAGAGAATTTGTTCTTCTTGTGAATCTATTGAGGCTGCTTCTTCAATGAGGTTTATCAGTATTTGAATGCACTCTGGGGAAGAGCATTTTAGACTCCATTTGTAAAGCAAATATTTAGAATTCGAGGGAGCCTTACTTGTAGTCAAAGGTCATTGAGCTGAGTTCGTAGGCTTGAAGGTCTTTACTCAACGACTTAGAAGTAAGTTGGGCAGTTTTGAAAATTACTTCTAGGATTATTTGGAGATTGGAGCAGAAGAGATCCTTGGCTCTATAAAGAAAGATGATTGAGTAAGTTAATTTAGAGAATGTGAAATAGTTTAGAGTTTAATTTGGTCCGAAAAGTGTATAATTAGGTACTTGTGGGATAAGGATGACATTAATCTGTGGCATCCTTCTGGTTGACCATAAAAAGGAAAGATATGACTGCAATAAGTCAAGTTTTATATCAGACCTTGATGATTAGTCATTATTATATTAATATTTATATAATTTCGATATCTTTTAAAAATTTAGGGGTTTTGGGGTTTTGGGGTTTTGGGGTTTTGGGG